TAATTTTTTTTGTATATTGAAAATATATTTAAAAAATATAAATACATTTTTAAATGCATTTAAAAATATAGTTTGCCTTCCATATATTTCAATCCAAGAAAATACATTCACATGTCACATTTAAAGAAAAAATGTACATGTTGTCCACAAAACGTGTAAATATATAGCGCATTTGAATAAATTCAACAATTCCATCCACAATTGCAAATTTGTAGGCTATTGTAAGAATGTAAATGTATTTTCTTGCCTACGAAATACATTTTGAAATATATATTGGTATATTAAAGTGAAAACTAAATATATGTTCTGTTTCAAAAACATATTGTATTGAGCTTCATATTTAAAATATATTTTGGCCAGATAAAAATATTTTTGGGGTTCTATGGAGAGTTCTTGATTAAAATAAGCCGCAAAGTGGTTGAAAATATTATGTTGAGAGTCGGTGGTCTAGCTGTGCAAGACTACATATGGATTAACATGCAGAATGACTGCAATGAAATGAGATAGTAAAGAAGCACAGGGCCTGACACACACTGAGAGCACTGAGAGATAGCGAGACGATTGTGTTTGTTATGGCTGTGGAGGGTGTGACTGTAAAGCAGTTGTGCTTTTGGCTCTCAGTCTGCAAGAACATACACAAACTCACACTTTCAGTTTTGCTGTAGGCGGAACGGTTAAAGAACACCAGATATGATTTACATAAGCAGCTGAGTTGAGATGTAGTTGCAAATTAATGAGAGTTAGTTGAGAAGTAGTTGCAAAGTTATTTATATTTAGTAGAATGTCTAATGTGGATTATCAAAATAAAGTGTAACTGATTATTTAAATGTAAGTAAATGAGTCATGCTCTTTGGATCTCAAATCATGCTGGAGGACATGATTATCAGGTTTGGTTTATACAGCTGTCATCAAAACAAAATAGATGCAATAAATACTAAAACATTCTGAAAATTATTATTTTTATTTTTTTATTTTTAGTCAAGTTGTGGTGAAAATATTGCAGGAGAAGTCTCATATTTTTGGAGCCCTTTGCATATTACTTACAGGAATTGTTCACCACCCAAAAAAATGCTGAAAATGTACTCTCAGGCCATCCAAGATATAGATGATTCATCATAACCGATTTGGAGAAATTTAGCATTCCATCACTTGCTCACCAATGGATGCTCTGCAGTGAATGGGTGCCGTCAGAATGAGAGTCCAAACAGCTGATAAAAACATCACAATAATCCTCAAGTAATCCACACCACTCCAGTCCATCAATTAATGTCTTGTGAAGTGAAAAGCTTTGTGTTTTTAAGAAACAAATCCATCATTAAGATGTTTCACTTTTGGCCAAAACGCAAGTCCATAATCCATAATAACACATCTTCTAGTGAAAAAGTCCATCTCCTCTTGTCCTCTCACATCAAAATCCACCCGCATATTTTTTTAGAGCTGTTTTGGACGGTTGTCTCTTGTAAACAGTGCTTGATCTGTGCACATTTCTCTCCTGATTAAGATGAGACTTTTTCCTCTGGAAAAAGCAATATTTTGTATAGAGTGCATATTATAGCTGGAAGCAAATTTTTGAAGTAAAAAAAATTTCTTTATGGATATTTTTTCTTACAAACACACAGCTTTTCACTTCACAAGATGTGAACTGATGGACTGGAGTGGTGTGGATTAATTGTGGATTATTGTGATGTTTTTATCAGCTGTTTGGACTCTCATTCTGACGGCACCCATTCACTGCAGAGGATCTATTGGTGAATTTCTCCAAATCTGTTCTGATGAAGAAACAAACTCATCCACATCTTAGATGGCCTGGGTGAATAGATTTTTAGCAAATTTTCATTTTTGGGTGAACTATTCCTTTAAAGAATATGAGTGGAGTGTGTGTGATAGAGTGTGTGTGTGTGACAGAGAGAGAGAGCAGATGATTAAACTGCAGCTGGCACACTGACCCACTAACACTGCGGCTCTCACATCCATACTACAGCTGTCTCTCCCTCTCTTACACACACATATCGACACACTCCGTTTTCTCTCTAAAGGTTCCTCCCCTCCCCCTCCATCCATCTATTCTAATTCAAACTCTATTCTAAAGAACAGTCCACACACACACACACACACACACACACACACACACACACACTTCACTTAGTCATGAATGAGTGGTAAGAATCTGTCTACATTAGCACTGTTTAAAATTAAATAATTTTAAAATACATTCAGTTACATAACTAGTTCAGCCCAAAATGGACTGCCTTTGACTATATTCTTAGTCAGACCAAAAAATTAAGTTCATATTTACCAAACATCTCCCATTTGCTGAATAAATTACATAAAAAACAGTGATTTTAAATTGTAATAATATTTCACAATTTTGCCAATTTTACTGTATTTTAGGTCCAAAAAAAAAAAAATGCAGCATTGGTGAGCAAAAGCGACAAAACATTAAAAATGCCTACCCCAAACATTTGCACGTAGCGTATCTGACCTAGTTCTTCTTTATCATCTCACTGTGACTGGATGGGTCAAATTTCTCAACATCAAGTAGATGTTATTAAGCTGCATAAACGTGAGTCGTATTTTGGGTTCACAATATGTTCTGTGTAAGTTCATGTCATTTTTTTTCTATAAAATTTCCCTGTAATTTAGCAAGGAATCATTTCCTTCTCTCTCTTCTGAGGGACACACAAAATCCTTTCTAGAGGATTTTGTTCCAACTACATCCCCTCAGTTTCCCCGTCCACCCACCAGGCCATGGGGGTGAATTACTCAGCAGCCCCGGAGCTCATTTCCCTGTGTGAAGATCATGGTGTGCTGTATGACAGCAGGGATCTTTGGGTGGCAAACACATTCCTGACATACCAGAGGCGGGGGGTCGGGGCACTGCATGTCATCCTTACAGTGCTGGGTGGGGCATAAAAACCATGTGGCATTCCAGCACTTGTGCTGCTACAGGAATGTTCCGGGTTCAGGACAAGTTAAGCTCTATCAACAGTGTCTGTGATACAATATTGATTAGCACAGAAAGAACTTTGTCTCCCTCAGAGCCTAAGCAGATGCTGATATTCATATATGGCCAAAAAATAAGATGACATTCTGATAGCTTTTAATGTAAATCAATGAGATCTTTATAACAGTAGCACTTTACAGACTATTTACAGGTGCATCTCAATAAATTAGAATGTCGTGGAAAAGTTCATTTATTTCAGTAATTCAACTCAAATTGTGAAACTCGTGTATTAAATAAATTCAATGCACACAGACTGAAGTAGTTTAAGTCTTTGGTTCTTTTAATTGTGATGATTTTGGCTCACATTTAACAAAAACCCACCAATTCACTCCCTCTCAACAAATTAGAATACTTCACAAGACCAATAAAAAGCATATAAATATTATTTGTCTCTCTATATCGCCAAATAATATGTCTTAGTAAGATGATCAAAACGCGGTAATTTCTAAACATATAATGCAATGCAATACACTGATTACTGAGACATGAACAAGTAAACGTTCCTCAAAAGCCTGATGGATCATATTTCATACACACATTTTAACATGATTTTTCTAAAAAATTATTTATGGTTTCTTCGGTCTAGTAAATGTTCATCTTGAAATCTTACGAACAACATAAATGTTATTCTTATGTTTAATTTATAAAAACAAGTAAAGATTTAACAGCAAAAAGATATGTGTACCACAACCTGCAGGTGGATGTTTTTAAAATTATACTGAAAGACCTTTTACTTGTACTAAGGTTTTGTAAAAAAATAAAAATGGCTCATTCCTGTAATACTGTATTTTATATTTCTATAAAACTGTAGAGCAGACATTGAGAAATATTCTATGGTCCAGCTCAGGCAATTTAATTACAGCCCGACTATTTACACAACGGCAAGAAAATGAACAGAATGGAAACAGAGAGCTAACATTATAGCCATTGCTCAGTGAGGGACTGAGAGTTTAACTATCTTTTGAAATGTTGACATTATCAAACCAATTTTACTTTAAATTTACAGGATGCTTCTGCAAACCAACTAACACCAACCAGCTAACAAAACATCACAGAATCCTTTAAATTCATTGCTAATACTCACTAATGCTTGTGCTGATGTTTTCCCTCCAAAATGATGTCACTTCCTGTGTGATGATGCCATCACAGAACTGGCTTTAGTTAAAGGGATCAGTTCACAAAAGACTAAAAGGATGGGAAATGATAAGTGAAAAACTTAGAAATCCATTAACAATTACAACAAAAGTTTCAAGAAATCATGTTTAGTTTAAAGCATTTTGACAAGAGAAATTCAATGAGATCTTTATACTTCCATAACACATAATAAATATCAGTTGTCTGTAGTTCCCAATAATATATTTAAATGCTTACTTCTATGATCAAAGCTCTATAGTTTCAGAACATATAATGCAATGCAATACACTGATGATTGAGAGATGAACAAATAAACATTCCCTGAAAGTCTGATGTATCATATTTGATACATTTTAACATGATTTTTCCAAAAAATGATGTATGGGTAATCAAGTAAACCTGAGTTTAAACATGTTTAGTCTGAAACGTTTTAGCTAGATAAAGTAAAAATGAAGAAACACCTGGAAACTTTCTTAATTAATTGCCAGTGTTTCATGTTAGACATTACTGCAGACATGACAAAAATTAAATCCTTAACCAAAGTAATTAAATTATTTAAAATTCACTCCTGTTCGCTTCATTTAATTCCTTCACTTGTTTTCTATTTCATCAGATATTAAGACATATGAAGAGGATGTGGAAGTTTACTTTTCAAATCATCAATAAAATCCTTAATATTAGTAGTCCATGCATCCAGAGTTGTAAAGCTGCAAATCCAGTAATCTGCTGGAGTGTGTGTAGTGGTGTGTTTGAATGGGGCAGATGGAGCTCCAGCCCTCTTGTGCAGATTGGGCGGCGTAGCTGCTGGGTGGAGTCACGCAGGCAAATACTCACACTTGTAGCTGTGAAACTCTTAGTCTGCTCTCCCCGCAGAGCCGTGTGGATTTACTACCAGAAAGCCGCCTTTATTTGTGTCTCCTGAGCACAGCAGATTAAAAAACACGCCAGGAATCTAAACGCTCGCTTACTGTCTCTACAGTGTGGGTTTGAATTTAAGGACCCTCTGGGTTTTTTCTGCCTTTATTTTCATTTTTAACTCTTTGAAGGAGACACAAAGGAGAGATGGGTGCTCAGTTGACTAAAGGTGAAGCTACGGTGGACGGAAAAGCAGTGGCTGATAGAGCCAATGGTCAGGTGAGGATCTACAAGCACTTTTATGATTGAACTACCAGTGTTTTGATATATCTGAATGGGATCTTATCAATATATATATATATATATATATATATATATATGCCTTTTAATAATCCCATTTATCTAACAATTCACTTTTTACAAATTAATCTTTGGATTTGTGTTAAAATGTGTGAATATCAAATTGGTTATGGCTACTATATCATCAGTTCTGAAGGATGATTTTGTGTTGAACCTTTTTCTAATTTTGAGGGTTTAAGTTGGAAAGTCTGTTTTAAACCCCTCTCTCTCTTATCTCTTTTTTAAAAATATGTCTTTTCCAAACATATTTTAGTTAGTTTAGTTAGTTATCAAGCACTCTGTGGTCGTGTGTTGGCACTGACACTGGCAGTAACCCGAATTTGAGAACAAAAGGTTGCAGAGCTGCATGCAAATGATGCAGAGCGCTTCTGCTGATCTGCAAACAATGCAATGCATGCAGTGAGTGTCTGTCTGTCTCTGTGTGTGTGTGAATGCATGGACCATTCCTTTAGTACTTCATTAATAATCATTCCACCCATCCCCCTTAATGCATATGCGCCCTTCCCCCTCCATATGCAATAAGAGAGCTCTTTTCTTTATTAATCAACTCAATGCATTATTTTGCATATCTTTATGCATGTGATTTAAACACCCCAGTACTTGAACAGAGCAAGTTACCGTAACTCAAGGCTACAGTGCCCGGGTTGATACATCATCTGAATTATTAGTTGTCCGATTTTCTGAAATGCAAGAAAAAAAGGTGTTTTAGAGAGAGGTGTTGTTTTAAACAACGTTCTAGGGTTGCTGTCTCCCTTTTCTTTGTTCTCTCTGGTAGTGGCTGGTTTTCTAAGCAGTGGATTATATTTAGTAGATCAATATCGCCTCTAGTGGACGTAGTGTGTAATTACTATGCACTTCTGCTTTTGGGTTTCTGGGTGTTGCTTCTGTCTTTAACGTAATTACATATAGCAATCCTCAGAGTCTTTTCTGCATATAAAATATACTGTTTGCTAAATGTCCTGTATTAAGCAGTAATTTATATATATTGGCTATTTTAAGGTTTAGGCACTACAGTGATGAGCAGACTGAGCTTTAAATCTCAATTCTTCTAATATTGCTGTATTGTGAGGTTTACATAATACTGGGATTTTTTTTAAACTAGTGATTTTAAAATAGAGGTACATATCAATTAAAGGAATTAAAAGTAGCCTAGGCTATTTGGTTTTGGATCAAAATGAGTGGTATATGCTGTGAAAATATGGCTAACACATTGTGCTATAAACTATACTATTAAAGCAAGCATTTAATATTTACTATGACTATAAAAACAAGCATTTACAAGCATAACCCCTTTACTTTTCTGTGGACTGTGTGTGTGCCAACATGCATTTGGCTTATCTTCTCTCATTCTGCTTTTCTCTTCAGGAAAATGGCCATGTGAAAACCAATGGCGACGTATCCACCAAGCCAGATGGAGAAGCCGTGGCAGCAGACGGAAATGGAACCGCGGAGGTTGCCAAGGTAGAGGCCGCCAAGACGGAGGCGGGAGATGGCATCGAAGCCGCTCCTGCTACCGAAGGCGATGCCGCCAAATCCGACGGCGAAGCTGCAAAGGAAACCAAGAAGAAGAAGAAATTCTCACTGAAGAACTCCTTCAAATTCAAGGGCATTTCCCTGAAGAAGAACAAGAAGGGAAGCGAGGAGGCAGCGGAGCCCGCGGCCACGCCCACCGCCGAAGACAAACCCGAGGAGACCGGCCAGGCTGCTACGGAAACCAAAGAGGAGGAGCCTGCTGCGGCAGAAACCAATGAGACACCGGCACCCGAAGCAGAGGCGGAGCCCAAAGCAGAGGCGGAGCCTAAAGCAGAAGAGCCCGCCCAGGAAACAGAAGCCGCGCCCACAGAGGAAAGCACAAAATCTGACGAGACCCCGGCCCCTGCTGAAGAGACCACGCCCACCACAGCCTCGGACCCGGAGCCGGCTGCAGAGTGACCTCACTTCACTGTGGCAACCTAGACTGTTTATCTATCCTTTTTTTCTTTTTGAGATTGAAATATATAAATATATATATAAATATATATAAATATATGAGACTTGAGCCACAATCTTAAAGTTACAGTAATACTACAGAGAAACCGAGTTCTTTTACCACCTTTGCTGATAACGGTCTCTAGTTCACGGTTTGTCCGGTCCGGTGTCAGTGAGCTCCGTGCTGCCGCATGTCAAGACCATTTTTTTTTTTTTTTTTTTGGTTTGCCCCGAAATGCAACAAGTCTTCGGATAGAAGTCTCTTTAAACTTCATCCGATCCTTGATTTTTCAAGGTTGATGAGTGAAATGACAAATTGTCCTCTTAGGAGATGGTTACGGGACGATGTAAAACTACAAATAAAATAAAAAAATCTTTTTTTATAGTGTTTAAATAGCTCTACATTCCAATTTTTTGGCCCTGAAGGGTGTCAGAAGATCTGGGCGAGTGAATAGGTTTTAGTCTTAGTCTGTTTTTAATGATGTTTTACAGTTTTAATCAGATCCAGCTACACATTTCAAAGTTTGTGACAAAGGGGAATTAAACCACTGCTTTTATTAAATATATATTTTTGTTCTGTTAAGTCTCTGTACATACATTTTCTGACTCTTTATTTCGCTAACATTTCCAGGTGTTAATAAGATGTTGTACGGTTAGGCCAAATAAATGTTTGACCGACCCCCGTGTTTGTTTGTTTTTTTTAAATTTAGTTTTTTTTTTTTTGGAAGAACATTATCAAATAACTTCATCTGCACAAAGAACATCTTATATTAATATTGCATATTGTACAAATTATTATGCATGTTTAGCTGACATTCAAATTCAGACAAAAAGACCTTTCAAATTCAGACAAAAAAATGATTAACTGTCTAATCTGATTGGGAATGTAAATTCACATGAAGAAACTAAAAGGCAAGGTTTTGCAGGGCAATTCATGCCATCACATCAATAAAGGCAAATTTTTAATTTTTCACCCCCAAAAATTAATTTCACGTCTTAATACACTCACCCCAATATTGTATGCATTTCTTTCTTCCGTGGAACACAAACAAAGATAAAAGGTGTTTCTCAGTGTTTTTTGTTAATAAAAAACAGTTAGTGAGGTCCAACATTATTTAAAATATCTTCTCTTGTGTTCCACAGGAGCAAGTGGCACAGGTTTAAATGTAATCAATAATCTGGTAATTGCGATGAAGTGTCTGTCCCATTTAAGATTCCAAAATACCTAAAAGTGTTAAAGACATCTCTCCCCACCCCCCATGAAGAACATGCCAAAACACACCAAATGGATCACTTTGTCTAAATTGATGAATATAGTGTGCTATTGTTCTTTAACTTATATTTGATCAGCACTAAATAAAGCAGTAAATTATGTCTAAATATTTTGATCTGATCACTAAATACATTCACTAATGTGTTCTCAGTGTGTGCTGACATTCTTATGCATTTGGATACTTTTGTTCATTATTATTGAATGTGATTTATCCAAGACATGTTCACTTTAACACGCAAACTGCTTTAATAAAACAGGAGCCATTTTAAATAAACAATTAAAGGTATTTTAATCATGTTAATTAATAATTAATAATTATACACAATTCTTCAACCAAGTAGTACAGTTCATTAGCCTAACTTGAATGCAACAATTTATATTCTATTCCGCAAAGTTCAAGTAAAAATATACAGTACGTTCACATATTATAGCACCACCTTATGGCCAGCTATCAAATAATTTGAATGATGATGATTGTCTATTTACTACTAAAATCTAAATTAAAAATGAAATAAAGGTGGTTAAAATATGATCCCACAGATAAAACCGGTAAATAATTAACAATTTAAAAATGTAGATGATACAGTATTATTTTTATTACACAGTGTATGTGTAAATTATGTTGTTGTTTGTGTGTAAATCTATTCATGCTTAATATGAATATTTAACAGCACTTTGTTTAGTATTGTTTTT